GAACACATGTTTACTGAGTACTTAAGTGTCAGGAAATGTGCAAGTACTTTGGCAAGTGCTATCTCATTTTATTCTCTCTAAAATACGTAAGGTAGGTAAAATTATCTTCATTTTTTTCAAATTGTGAGACCAAACCTCCAAAGATTGTTCACCCAAAGGATAATTGATGTGTTACTTAAATAAAATAACATTAGCCGCTTTCACTGACAAACTCCAAAATATTAGTGCTTTAATAAAATAAAATGTTATTTCTCACTTATATCACTATCTAATACAAATCAGAAGGGGACCCATGACACTTCCATCCCACCCAACTGATGAATAGAGATTGAGCATAGGGATGGCACATTAGAAGTTTTTGTAGACAAGGCCTAAAAGTGCCACATACCACTTCTGCTTACATTCCATTCCCCAAAATGACACCTGTTCTGTTAATAGGGAAAAACTAAATGTTTTCTCCCCAAGATAAAATATAAGATAAAGATGTCTACTCTCACTACTGATAATCAACATAGTACTGGAAGGTCTAGCTACTTCAATAAGGCAAGAAAAGGCATACTGATGAGAGAGAAGAAATAAGTGTTCCAATTTGCAAATGACATGATCATCTATGTAAAAAACTCCAAGAATCTACCCCAAAAGTCCTATAATTAATAAGTGAATTAAGCAAAGTTGCATAACATGAGATCAACACACAAAATCAATTACATTTCTATATTATAAAAATAAATATGTGGAAACTGAAATTAAAAACATGATGCCTTTTACGTTCACTCCAAAGAAAATCAAATATTTAGGTATAAATCTAACATAACATGTACAGAAGTTTATGCTAAAAGTTATAAAATACTAAGGACATAAAAAGAAACTTGAAGAGAAAATAAAAAGATGATAGAATTAAAACCAAGCATATCAATAATTACATTAAGTTTAAATGATCAAAGTATCTTAATGAAAAGGAAGAGAATGTCAGGTCAGATAAAATGCAAGACCTAACTAGAAGCTGTCTATAAGACATAGATAGGCTAAAAGTAGAAGGATAGAAAAAATATATACCATACAAAAAAAATATTTATGAAGGCTAGGAAGTGAATTTAACAAACAATTAGAGAGATAAAATTAGTAATATGAGGGCAAGCTGTCACTCCTGAAATAACAAAAAAAGAAGTTGGCACATATTGGAGATTTTGTCTAAAAATGATTTAAAGAACTTTGGGCAAAATGAAAACAACCAAAGAAGGGATAAAAGAATATGGTGAATTATTAATAGTTACTGAAAACTAATAGAAGGCTAGATGAGATAGTGAAATTAAAAGTAAGTTGAGTCCTGGCTGGCATGACTCAGTGGATGGACCATTGGCCCACAAACCAAAGGGTCACAGGTTTAATTCCCAGTCAAGAGCATGTACTTGGGTTTGATCCCAGCCCTGGTTAGGCACGTGCAGGAGACAACCAATCTCTCTCTCTCTCTCTCTCTCTCTCTCTGTTTTTCCCCTCCCTCCCTTCCACTCTCTCAAAAAATCAATGGAAAAAATATCCTCAGGTGAAGATTTTCACAAACAAAACCAAAAAAATGAGTTGATTGTGCTCATGGCCTCCCTCATCTCTCTGATGCTATGACTGTCACTGGCACAGTATCACCAGAGGCTCTGGAGTATCTTGGCTCATGGGAGCAGCATGCACTAGCCATTTGGTTTAGAGTGATTCTCTCCTACTCATTTTTTAATGAAAAACCATTGAAATATGGTTTGGGACTACACTGCTATTTTCCATGTCATTATTAGAGCAGAAACCTCCAAGAAGTTCCTGCATCAACTCTGGATAGGCTGTGTCTGTTTTAACTATGATCATTGCAGTTAATTTTCCATTCTGATGGACTAATAAAAGTTTGCTGTGTTTTTGTTAACATTTGTATTGGTTCTGCAGAATGTGTCTTGAGTTAAGTGTTAATATAGTCCCTCCTCCCCTACTACATGAAAAGCTAAAGAGATTTAAGAGATTTTCAGGGACTATTTAACCAGCACTGTTCTAATTAGAAATCATACTACCACCTAAGGACTTGGTAGTGATTATAACCATGTGTCATTTCCTTAAGAAGGTTAAAAGGAAGCCAAGATAATTGAGGTTAGATCATTTTTTTAGTATGGCTGTTTCTTTGGCCTCTTCACTGCCCCCAATATGATCCCTTAAATTACTCAAGAAATCCTACTTACTTGGGGTCCCCAGGCCCCACTGACTGACTACCAGCCTCCTCTGTTACTGCTTTCCTGCTTCCTCTTTTACATTTCACTACAAAAATGCTCTTTGTCCCAATGTAAAGGATATGGAGTGCAGCAGCAAAGAAAATAGTAAATAGCCGAGGTAAAAAAGACAGTCTTAACAATGAAAACAACCTGCACCCCACATCTCCTCCACAGTTACTACCCTATTTTCCTGCTCCCCTTATCAGCAAAACTCTTAATTTGCTCTTACTCCCTCTCTATTTCCTCTCCTCCCACTCTTCCTTGAAACTACATTCAGCCTTTGATCACTCTCTCATATTGAATACACTTTCTTCACATGGAATGGAATGATCCGCCATCATTCTCTTCCACCTCAGTAGCTATTCTTTGCTTTGCGGGTCCCTCCTTACCTACCTGACCTTTAAGCAGTGAAGAGCTCCAAGGCCCAGTTCAATCTATCTCACCCCACCATTCAAAAGAATGTGTCATTATGAAATAAAAGATGACGAGCTGGATGTGTGCAGAAGTTCGGGGGACTGACAGCACAAGGATACAAACCTTAACTCCTACTCTGCAAGGCTTGGGCACAAAATTAGCCAGGAAGTCACATTAAAGAACTAACAATGTCAATCCAGAGGCAGTTAAAAAGATGAATCAGGCATACATCCTACCCTCCAGAAATGTATAGTCTGCTGAGGGGGAAATGAAAAATAGTTACAAAATAGGGACAAAATGGTGTCATCAGAGAAATGATAATTAGAAGTTATGAGAGCTCAGAAAAATAGAGCAGCTTTTAAAAGTTCTACGAGGCTGAGTTATTTCTGATTATTTTTACTGCATGCTTTCAAAATAATTACATTTCTTAATTGCCTCTATTATCAAATAGAAATTTCTAAAGTTTTCTGTCCCTTATTCATGCTGTTCTCTATACTCAGTCTTACAGGCTCAGTTGGAAAGCCTTTCAATTGAGAACTATTTATCCCAGCAAACCTCAAGAACCTTAGAAAAACATAACTATAGATTAATATTTACAGAGAAAAAAAACTTTATTTAATTTTATTAAAGAGAAAGAGGTCAAAATTGAGAAATAAACATATGGGACACAGGGGAAATAGAGAGAGGCTGCCCCAAGCAGCTGGCAGCTGGCAGTTGGCTCAACTGCAATCAGAAGCCAGGTCTGTCTGATTCCAGAGCCCATACTTTTTCAATGTGTAAGCCTGGTCTCAAACATAAGTGCACATTTAAACTGATTATAAAAGGAGGGCAAGGTACCAGTGGGAAAAACAAAACACATCCAATTTACAAGAAAAGGGGGATTGTTGATAGAGCAAGTCCCTTGGAAGAACTAGAGAAACACAAGACATCCGAAGAGGGTACATCCGCAGAAAACACTGTAAAAGCATAATGGAAACAGAGGCAGAATGTTTCTCTTTTAACTGCAGAAAGACAGAAACTGTCTTTAAAACAAAGGCCCTATTTTGGGTCTTTAGTGAAGTCATTATTGTTTTCTTTCCGTTTCTGTATCTAAAGGATAAATGACACCTATCTCCCCTCTTTTCCCTTAGGCTAGAGATTTTTTATTCCTCCTCCGTGACTTCTCGTCCCCACTCCACCCAAAGAACCTCACCACTTTCACTCCCATTCACACACCCCTCACCTGCTCCTGCCCTCATCTTTTCCTGAAATCATTGTGTCTGTTAGTCCTAATCTACATCAGTCTTAAAAATGATTAAACACCCTTTTGAGATGGGCTCTCACCTGGCCCCCAATTTCCAAATTAAAAAAAAAAAAAGATGAAACACCAGTTTTTCTTCAGTTTTCCTGGACCTAAACCCATAGAGTCTAATCAAATTATTTGATTGGTGTTCTGACCAGCAGCCATTAGCTGTGAATATCTCTATGTGCGTTTTGATTGTCTTGTGAATATACATTTATATTTAACTTTACTTTTTAAAAATCCCTTACAGCTATGCATTCAGTACGTGTCACTATCTCATTGACTACCCAACTTAATCACAGCTATCCAAAAAATAGAGATGGATGGATGGATAGATAGATAGATAGATAGATAGATAGATAGATAGATAGATAATGGAAATAGGACAGAAATATTCACCAAAACTCAACACATTTTTTAAATGCAGAGATCTTCAAGCTTCACGATGATGCTGATTCACAGTCGGTTTACTGTATTACTCTGAGAACAATTTGCCACGAACATCAAAGTAACCTGATAAGCTTTTTTCTCTCTTTTCTCCATAGAAGTGCACAGTCAGATATATAAAATGTCAGAAATAATTAGACAAAATCAAGCAATCCCACTGAGACACTAAAATATCTCTGGAGTTGAATATTTGCTATGAAACTATAAAATCTGGTTTGAAGGATACTTATTACAGACAAATATAATTTTTCAATGCAATGATCCCAAATAAGCATGATATAATGTGAACATATTTTTTCAAATGTAAAAGAAAGCCTTTTATATATAAATGTGTACTGTGTATAAAAGAATAAATATAAATGAGAAAGAAAATCAGGTGGAAAACAGACTTAAATTTGGTAATGTCTTTATCAGAAAGAGTTTGGGTACTTAAAAAAAGTATCCTTTGAGGAATAATGTAAAGACGAAGTTTACATTCAGAGCGGGAAAAGAAAGTTATGTCAAAATTGTGTAAACATTTTATTAATACCAACATATTCTCACATATTACAGGAAAAACAATATGGCTTTTTCATTCATTAACCAGGAGCATACTATTTTCCAGGACCCCTCCATTCAGAAGAGATGCTGTGGTGCTTTCCTTTACCCACCCAAAATGGAACACAGGAGACTACATAGCTGAAGAAATTACAACCTCCCCACAAATGAGGGACATTCAAGTCTAAGTAGTTTCCAGCTGAAGGAAAATAACCAACAGCTTCTCCACAGGGTCGACTGGAACGGGGAAAACATGAACATCACTAACTGTACCACAGAAGCCAGTGTGGCTGGGAGAGCCAAGACCATCACTGAGAAGATGCTCATCTCCATGACTCTGGTCATCATCACCACCCTGACCATGTTGCTAAACCTGGCCGTGATTCTGGCCATCTGCACCACCAAGAAGCTCCACCAGCCTGCCAACTACCTGATCTGTTCTCTGGCCGTGACAGACCTCCTGGTGGCAGTGCTAGTCATGCCCTTGAGCATCATGTACATTGTCATGGACAGCTGGAAGCTAGGGTACTTCATCTGCGAGGTGTGGCTGAGTGTGGACATGACCTGCTGCACCTGCTCCATCCTCCATCTCTGTGTGATTGCCCTGGACAGGTACTGGGCCATCACCAATGCTGTTGAGTATGCCAGGAAGAGGACCGCCAAGAGGGCAGGACTGATGATCCTCACTGTCTGGACAATCTCCATCTTCATCTCCATGCCCCCTCTGTTCTGGAGGAGCCACCGCCAACTCAGCCCGCCCCCCAGTCAGTGCACCATCCAGCATGACCATGTCATCTACACCATTTACTCCACTCTTGGGGCATTTTATATCCCCTTGACTTTGATACTGATTCTCTATTACCGGATTTACCACGCAGCCAAGAGCCTTTTCCAGAAAAGAGGGTCAAGCCGGCACTTAAGCAACAGAAGCACAGACAGCCAAAATTCCTTTGCGAGTTGTAAACTTACACAGACTTTCTGTGTGTCTGACTTCTCCACCTCAGACCCGACCACAGAGTTTGAAAAGTTCCACACCTCCATCAGGATCCCTCCCTTTGACAATGATCTAGATCACCCGGGAGAGCGCCAGCAGATCTCTAGTACCAGGGAGCGCAAGGCAGCGCGCATCCTAGGACTGATTTTGGGTGCATTCATTTTGTCGTGGCTTCCATTTTTCATCAAAGAGTTGATTGTAGGTCTGAGCATCTATACCGTGTCTTCTGAAGTGGCCGATTTTTTCACATGGCTTGGTTATGTTAATTCTCTGATCAACCCTCTGCTCTACACTAGTTTTAATGAAGACTTTAAGCTGGCTTTTAAAAAGCTCATTAGGTGCCGAGAACATACTTAGATTGTAAAAAACCAAAAGGCATGAATTTGACCAGCCTCCTGAGTGGACGGGGTTAATTCTTGAACATTGTTGGTTCAGAGAGTTTGTAAGTATGTGTGGTCTTGTTTTTTTGTTTGTTCTGTTCTGTTTGAGGCTTGTTATTTGGTGTGCTGTTTTCTACTTCCGGTCCTGTTTGTGGTACATAATTTCAAATAAACATTATCCTACAAAAACAGATATTTCATAAAAGTAGTAGTAAAGTGAACTAGTAAATACTTTTTATTAGCCATTTCAGTGAACCCTGCAATTAAAGAATGTCAAAATAAATCTTTATTTGCAGAATTTCTTATTACTTATAAATCAAATCTCTGATAACTGGTCCTCGTGTGGCATTAAATCCGAGGTTATCGCTCCAAATGCTTACAGATTCCAAGGAGTACTGCATGACTACACAAAGCACACAAAAGGGGTGTGCTGCCATCTACTGCTTGCAGACGTGAGCCAAAACCTTTTACTGTGACTACATAGCTCACTCCTTTCAAGCATAAATAGTACAGATAGCATGCCTTTTCAGTTCCTGGTTATATAAGCTTCATCATTCTCTAAAAAGAACCTAGAATGAATAATTTCCTAGGTCTTTGATTATGAATATAAAACACAAGCAAATAAGAAATAATCTAAATCTATGTTAGTCAGTGTTTCACTATATTACCTGAAAGACACATGGGGTCTCCTCCCATTCTAAGTGTCCCAGCTAAGCTTCAAATACATTCTCTCACTCCAGCAGGATTAAGGTGAGAGTATATGTCAAATTTGGGGAACTCTGACAGCAGCTGAATGGGTGCAGTGTTTAAATGAGGGGATATATTATCTGAAGAACTTTATTGGAGAATGTTACTAATGCAATTGTGCAATTGAAAAAGAAAACTAAAAGTTGAAAATTTATGTTTATAGCAAAAGCCACCCATCAGGAAACAAGTGTGGAATTGTGTCTCCTAAAATCTCCATGGCATCCATGCCAGGAGGCTGGATGGGGGGGGGACATGTGGCCACACAGTGGCCTGACTCAGCCTCCCCTGGCCTGTAGTGACCACTCTAAGTCATGTGGAGGAGCTCATCACTAAATCGAGAGTGATAACAGAGAGGACTGAAAGTTTGTAAATTCTTTTTTTTTTTTTTTTTTTTTTTTTTTTTTGAAAGTTCTGAATGACAAATAACACTTTATTTATAAGGAAAAAGTAATTCTATGACAATAGGTTTTCCATTAGAAACCACAAAGTCTAAAAATAAAAGAACTGTCAACAGAGTCCTATTTCCAGTGAAAATATCCTTCAGCAATATGGGGAAAATCACGGCACCTCAGGAAAGAGAACACAAATGTAAACAAGAATTGATAAAGAATAATATCCAAGGAGAAACCAAGATGGCGGCATAGGTAAACACCTAAAATTTCTGCCTCGCACAACCACTTCAAAAATACAACTAAAAGACAAAAGAGACATCATCCAGAACCACAGGAAGGCTGGCTGAGTGGAAATTCTACAACTAGAAGGAAAGAGAAAAGCACACTGAGTCTCAGAGGAGGTGCAGAAGTAAAGTGCAGAGGTATGGAGGCTCGAGCGCGCGCGGAAAGGGGCTGGCAACTGAGGACGCCAGTGTCTTTTTCAATCGGGAGGGAGGCACTAGCTCCCAACGGCCCTGACTCCAGTTCTGGGTGAGTCTCTGGGGACCCAGACTCATACGGAGAGAAACTGGACTGTCTGACAGCGGGCAGAACTGGAGGGTGGCTTTCTCTCAGAGGTGCTTGCAGCGATTACCAGGACACTGAGATGCAGGGCCTCTTAGGGTAGGACCAAGGAACAGCCATAGCTACTTGCTCTGCCCTGTTGATCCCCTGAGACCCCGCCCCACCCAAGCTGTGCGCAGAGGCTTTTGCATATGAATGGGCTGGCCCTTTGCAATCTAAAATTTTTTTTTTTTTTAATATTTTTTTATTTTTCGCTTAAAGTATTACAAAGGGTATTACATAAGTGTCCTTTTTTTCCCCCCCGCCCTTGACACACCCCTACCCTCCCTTACCCCCCAGTGTCTTATGTCCATTAGTTATGCTTATATGCATGCATACAAGTCCTTCGGTTGATCTCTTACTCCCCTCCCTCCTGCCCCCCAACTCTCTCTGGCCTTCCCACTGCAGTTTGGCAATCAGTTTGAGGCAGCTCTGCCTCTGTATCTATTATTGTTCAAAAGTTTGTAATGGTCTTTATTATCCATGAATGAGTGAGATCATGTGGTATTTTTCCTTCATTGACTGGCTTGTTTCACTTAGCATAATGCTCTCCAGTTCCATCCATGATGTTGCAAATGGTAGGAGTTCCTTCTTTTTAACAGCAGCATAGTATTCCATCGTGTAGATGTACCACAGTTTTCTAATCCATTCATCTACTGATGGGCACTTAGGCTGTTTCCAGATCTTAGCTATGGTGAATTGTGCTGCTACGAACATCTGGTTACATATATCCTTTCTGATAGGTGTTTCTGGTTTCTTGGGATATATTCCTAGTAGTGGGATCACAGGGTCAAATGGGAGTTCCATTTCCAATTTTTTGAGGAACCTCCATACTGCCTTCCATAGTGGCTGCACCAGTCTGCATTCCCACCAGCAGTGCACAAGTGTTCCTTTTTCTCCACATCCTCTCCAGCACTTGTCGTTTGTTGATTTGTTGATGATGGCCATTCTGACAGGTGTGAGATGGTACCTCATTGTTGTTTTGATTTGCATCTCTCGGATGATTAGTGACTTTGAGCATGTTTTCATATGTCTCTTGGCTTTCTGAATGTCCTCTTTTGAAAGGTGTCTATTTAGATCCTTTGCCCATTTTTTGATTGGATTGTTTATCTTCTTTTTGTTAAGTTGTATGAGTTCCCTATAAATTTTGGAGATTAAGCCCTTATCAGATATGACGTTGGCAAATATGTTTTCCCAAGAGGTGGGTTTTCTTGTTGTTTTGTTGATGGTTTCTTTTGCTGTGCAGAAGCTTTTTATTTTGATGTAGTCCCATTTGTTCAGTTTCTCTTTAGTTTCAACTGCCCTAGGAGCTGTATCAGTGAAGAAATTGTTTTGGCATAAGTCTGAGATTTTGTTGCCTTTGTATTCTTCTAGAATTTTTATGGTTTCCTGTCGTACATTTAAGTCCTTTATCCATTTAGAGTTTATTCTTGTGTATGGTGTAAGTTGGTGGTCTAGTTTCATTTTCTTGCATATATCTGTCCAATTTTCCCAACACCATTTATTGAAGAGACTATCTTGGCTCCATTGTATGTTCATGCCTCCTTTGTCAAAAATTAATTGAGCATATTGGTTCGGGCTAATTTCTGGACTCTCTATTCTATTCCACTGGTCTATATGTCTGTTCTTGTGCCAGTACCAGGCAGTTTTGAGAACAGTGGCTTTGTAATACAGTTTGATATCTGGCATTGAGATCCCACCTACTTTGTTCTTTCTCAGGATCGCTGCAGCTATTCGGGGTCTTTTTTTATTCCAGATGAATTTTTGGAGAGTTCGTTCTAGATCTTTGAAGAAGGCCATTGGTATTTTAATGGGAAGTGCGTTGATTATAGATTGCTTTGGGTAG